GGGAATTGGGGAGGGTGAAAAGAACACCTACAATAGGTGGCCAAGGTTTGAGGAACACTGCTTTAGAACTCTTTTCTCCTCTCTCCTTTTTCTTTAATGCAAGACAGCCATAAATGTTTCAATAGAGAACATGTGTATATTTATGTGTATATGTGTTCAGAGAGAAGATGAAGAAGCTGCTTAATTCTTTTCCTGGCAGCTTTTGATCTGCTTTAAATTGCCCCTCTCCCAGCTGCTTTTTAACCAAACCAAAACAACACTCTTTCTGAACAGAAGAAATTAAGTAGTAAGCTGCTTATTGAGCTTGAGACCACACTTCTCTTTAAGTTCCATATAGGAATGAAGGGGGATTTTCTGAAATATAGATTGCAATTGGAAAGCCTGGGAATTTGTAGTTCTTTTTCCTCATTTCTCCTGAAATAAGGGGGACTAAAACACAAATTCTCAAGTTTTCTAAGCATCAACAAATTCCTTAAGGTCAAGGGCACCTAGTTCTACCCCTGAAGTTTGGTGGGGCAAACAAACAAATAAAGCCAGTTATGAGTTCAATCTATTTATAAAATTTTATCTCACAATTTGACATGTGGATGTAGTGGATTTCACTACTGTTTCCCTTTCCCTTGAGCTTTCAACTCTGCTGTAGATATTATAATAGAAGGATTGTTATATTTATCAGTCAAGGTAATTCTATCAAAATTCACATGCTCATGCAAACGATTATGTATGGGAATGATTGTACATAGCCATTTTGTCTTGCGTGTAATCATTAATGATGTGAAGTCCCTCTGGCTTGTTTCATATTTGTTATTATTGTATCTGATTTATCATAAACATGATTCTCCTTCCCCCCTTTCCCACAACTTCTGGTGGAGGTAGAAAAGATGGGGTTTGGAAAGGTTTGTGGCCACCTGCCAGCGTCGTCTGGAACATTGAAAATACTAGACACTTCTGTTTTTTTTCTGAACAGATTGTCCTAGGAGGGCCTGAAAAATAGATGTTCAGATAAAACAAAATTCCCTGACAATAACCTAACCATATCAAGTGGAAAATAGGCATTTGTTGGCCTTGAAGATGAAGTCTGCATGCTGTTAAGTCTTCCATAGTAACCCACTGCTATTATTGTTCTTCTTGTCATGCTAAAAAAGGGAGACACTTGCAAGGTGGGCTAGAAATGGAGAACACTGGCAGTATCTTGACTAGTTATTTGTTGAAATTCGGAAGGATTTGGGTGCAGCTTGCATTTGTACATCATTTTCTTATCCAGAGAACATAGTTCCCAAGCACTTCAGTCATAATTTTCAGGGCTGTCACTACAAACGATCCACTTATTTCAAGATAGCTCCTCTCACTAATTGTTCATCTTTGTAGTATAACTGTTCCTGGCCATTACAGAGTGATACGATTAGGATGAGGAGAAACCAGGATATTAAACAATTCCATGCCTTCTTCCTGATTCAAATATTAATGATGCAGTAGGGAATTTGACAATACAAAAGCAAAAAAAAAAAAAAAAAAAGGCCAATACAATGGATGGGTCTACCCCCACAATTTCTCATTTAGATTCTATTCCTTCTTTCAGAGTCCAGCTCATTTAGATTCTATTCCTTCTTTCAGAGTCCAGCTCATTTAGATTCTATTCCTTCTTTCAGAGTCCAGACAATACAAAAGCAAAAAAAAAAAAAAAAAAGGCACATACAATGTATGGGTCTACCCCCATCATTTCTCATTTAGATTCTATTCCTTCTTTCAGAGTCCAGGCATTGAGATGTGTCAACATGGTAACTAGAAAATACATGGTTCAGTGGGCTTTGTTATCCAGCATTAAAAACTGATGTCTAAGGAAATCAGGAACAACACATTTTACAAACAACGTCTAAATGCCAAATGTCCTTTACTAGATGTAATATAGCAAAAGTATACTATTATTGCTCTTTTAGAAAGTGATGAGAACAGGAAAGTAATTAAATTAGCTCATTAGGCTGATTTTATTTGATAGCTGGGATCACAATGCAAACATTTGTACAACAGTTTTCATTAAAAATGCAGTCCTTTGTTAATTCATCTGGTATTCATTTTAATACCATAAATCCTAGAGGATACATTTTTTTGGATCATGTGGCTGTCATATGCTCTTTCCCTGGATGCGGTGTTGTGATGAAGCATTGATTACTGGACCCTATAAACTATCAAAATTTCCTTTGATTACATGCATGTTTTTCAAAGCTATCACCATAAAATCCTCCCTGTAATATAATATAACTGCACATCAAAGTATGTAGTATCAACACCTTAGTGATAAATTCAAACCCAGATAGAATCTACTTGATATATTAAAACATTCTGTTACTGTAACAATACAAATGTAAATGCATGCATACTAGAACAGTCTCTAGTGTAGACATAGAGTAAGAAATATCAGATAAAAACAGCTTTGAGGTTTTGGAAGACCATAACAAGTTCATCATGATTAACTCTTAGCAAGAGTTTCTACAAGCATTCATAAGGAGTCCTTCAACAGGTACATTCTGCAGCACATTTCATGTTTAACATTTGAACACTGTCTCAGTTCTTATAGTTCTTATCTATCAACCTTTCATAGTCTAGTGCCATCCTGATGTCTTGGGGATTCAACACTATTAGAAGGTTTCAAATTGGGGAAGGCAGACTTAGTGTACTGTAGTGGAAGGATTTATTTTTGGTAAACTGGATTGTTCAGGTGCATGTACCTGCTTTGAAAAGAAGACTTTTGGATCCAACTTGTAATATTTTTGTAGTGGTGTATATTGTAGTTTCCAAAAATGGCTTCTGGTTAGTTACATTTGGGCACTTTTTAAATTTTCCTAGCCATGATGGATCAAAATATAGAGAAGCATGGGCAACTTGAATCCAAAGTTTGCATGCAGCTCTACCCCTCCCCCTTTTTTTGCAGCCCCGAAGGTTAGGTGGGCATCCCAAAATTATAGGTAGGGTTTCTTATCAGATTGCAGTGGGAAACATAAGATAATGATGTATAAATCCTTATGTAGGCTTAATCAAAAACCAAAACATCCATGAAACCTAGGAAGAAAAACCAGGAAATCCTGTCCCTGCCCTTTAGATAACATGCTCCATCTGCTTTGCATTATTGCCATGCCCACCAAAAATATTATGGGTGGAGTTTCCAGCCACCAACATAGAGAGTACCATCTAACCAAAGTTTTAACTCGCTTGAGTCACTGTTCCCATTGGAAAAAGTTTAAGTAAAACTGTCTAGTTCAAATCCTTGAGGACATAAATGTGCTAAATTTGGAATAGCAAATTTCTGAAAGCATGTACCTTTTTGTTGTACATGCATGTCCTAGAATTCACATTGAGTCTTTCCAGGTCAGTGTTGATCTCAGCAGTTTGAATGAGTTTGATAAAAAGCCTGTTTACAAAAAGAGAATGGACCTCATTCACTCAGTCTAGTTGTTTGTGATCTAAGTATATAAAATGGTAGTGGGGGTTTGCTGATCTTTTAAGACTCACTTATATTTATTCTATTTATTTATTTACTCAGTTTACATAGCTGTCCATCTCACTTTTATGTGACCCTAGGTGGCTTACAATAAAACAAATAAAAACACAAAATACATAATATAAAACAACAATAAAAACACATAGCAGCCAGGCACAACCAAATCATCATCCATACAACCAGGAGAAGGGCTCTAACCCACACCCAGAGGCCCAGGCTTGAGCACAAAGTCAGGTTTTTAAGGCCTTATGAAAGGCCATCAGGGACAGGGACAATTTAATCTCAGGGGGAATTATGTTATAAGTATACAGTATATATGGAATAGCTGCCCTTTTAGGCCATTGCCATCAATCACACCTCCCTTGGCCACATTTAAACTCCAATGCTCTCCTCCTCCATGCAAGCCAAAAGAGGGCCTCCCATGACGTCACAGGTGCTGCAGGGCTTCTTCCTTCCAGCGCAGCACTGCTGATTGCTGCTGAGGGCACAAACTGCTCAACAGCTGATCAGCGCTTCCAGCAGTCCCACCATCTCACTGCTGCCATCGTTGGCTCTGGGAAGACAGTCCTCCATCTGGCAGTGCAGAACAAGAGGTTCCAGGATATACACCACACAAGCCCAATGGCAAGCGCTAACAGTCCAGTCTAGGAGCAGGAGAGGGAAGACCCCAGAAGATCCCTCCATCATCTGAGCAAGAGGTCTTCCCCTCCAACCATCTGCAACCTTCTAAAAACCAGCAACTAACAATGCCATCTCCACTAATACAACCAGCCTCAGCACCATGTTGGAGGAAAAAGAAAGGTTTAAACTTAAAAGTAAATAATAATGGTGTTTGTTCAAAGGAACACAGTCTTGCAAACTTTCCAAAGTCTTGGCATTATAGTAACAAATGCAACATGTTATAGGGATTACTTTCAAGGTCTTTTCCATTCTTTAAAAAGAGTAAGTCTTGGGAATGTTTGACAAAAAACTAAACCAGAATAGATGAGACCATGTGGCTATATGGTTTAAATTAAATTTGAAAATATATTATTCTTGCTGAGTCTTCTTCAAGCTCTGAAACATGTAAAGGCTTCAGGAACAGACAATGCTAGCTTGATGATGCTCCATACACTCAGTTTTGCCGTATCTGAAGGAGGTAGCATACAGACATGTTCCTGGACAGCCTCTGATCTGATCCACAGATTTTACAGATGTTCTTCTATACATTTTGCCCCTGTGTGAGATTATTCTTATCCCACTGTTTTGAGAACAATTGCACAAAATAGTTTTGCTATTTCTTTTCCTTTGCCAAAATCAGTGCCTTGCAAATATTAGTTGTTGTTTTTCATTTTACCAAAGCAACAAAAAAAAGTTTTATCAAAAAGGGTAAAATATGGGATGGAAGACGCAGAAGTTAAGTTTGGCTAGAAACACATTCTAGCCCTCATGTAGATATTACATTACATTCCCTTGTGCCAGCAAAGTTCAGCTCTGCATTTTATTACAGAATGGTGAAATAATGAGATCTTATTGCCTACTGGGAAAAGGTAACTAGATTTTGCTCTAGGCCACTTCTCACCCCCTCATGCCCTCTGAGAAGCACTTGAGATTAAGCTCAGTTTTGCATAGTTTAAATGGATTACAAGAGAAGGGAAATGAAAGCTCTGAAAATGAATATTTATAGCTCTCCATCTTCATTCTACTCATTTTTTCCTATTTATATGGGCCATCTGTTAATAAGCCTTAGGCTAAATTACCTTTTAGTTAACAGTTGGGTCCTGCCACACCACAAGTCCATCCCATGTGCAAAGCATCCCCAACGTGCTGGATTGTCACAGTTCCTTTGTCCGTCACTGTTCTCAACCAGCATGATTGTCATACACCTCTAGCACACCCTTTTGCCAGGCCTGGGGCTCACTAAGAGTGCCTTCAGACAGCCCCGCCTACCTGAACAATTCAGCCAATCAACATTCACTCTCCTGGCTTCCTGCTCATCATGCCACTCATTAAAGAGACACTAAATTATTACGAGAGGCAAAAAAAGTTCCAAGCCTTTCCCCCCATCCCCAGCTCAGAGTCCATGAATGTGTACATTTGTCTTTCAGTCTGCAAAGCATTCACCAAGATCATCTTTTAGGGAGCAAGTGTAACAGGCAGAACTTCTCTTCATGGCGGAAACTCAGTGTTGCTGTTGCATTACATGTTGGCTAGCTTTTATGCTAGCATAACACACTTCATCTGTGGCCTAGTTGGGAACCATATGAGCTGGGAGGCAGAAGAATAATAGAAGATCCTGTCTGCTAAGAAAATAGATCCCCAGAGACTTCTTTTACATCCTAAAGCTTCCTGGAGTGGGTACAGGTGACATTTTTGGACTATGTTTGTGATGGATTAGGATGGGGGTGGGAGTAGTTTAAAGCCTGAAAATGTGTTCCTTGTGGAGGTTTATGACACACGTTTAACCCTTAAAAAAACCCCCAAATCTCCACAAAATTTGGTCAGTTTTTCTCATTGTGGGAGAAAAGCCCCATTGAATTCCTCAAAACTGTAATCTTGTCATATAAAAATGGCCCAAACCTCCACCCCACCCACCTGAATGTTGTCGTGTTATAGTAAAGCCCACAAGACCCAAGAAAGGAACAAAAGCAGAAAAGGCAGAAAAAGATACTCCGACTGGCTGCATGCTAACATCACGGAGGAACCAAGCACTCTTCAGAAAATATTAAACTCCTGTCATTGGGTAAATTATTTTGCCACAAACACACATCCTTTGGATGCAATTAGAGAAAAATTTGCTGAAAGTGCACTGCTTCTTTTTACCCTCTTTTGATACAGTCAGGACTTCGGGTTCATCTGCTTCATACCCTCTAAAAAACAGCACTCTCTGTTTTTAAATGTGCACACTGCTAACAACAGTGTGCTTAATTAGGCAGAGCAAGGACGCATGGAAAAGCACATGGTTTGAGAGATAATGTGGTGAAAGAGCCCTGAGGCTGTTGGCCTGAGACCTGAACCATTGTGTACTTATTTGTCTATGGGGAGTTCCATTTCTATGATTAGTGGGGAAGGCTGAAGCTTAATCACCAGGGGAGGGAAAAATAAATTCACACAGCAAATTCAGTTTTAAAAGCTTGGGAGTAAAAAGAATTTTGAAGTACTGATATTGGCAACCAGAGCTGGCAAAGGGGATGCTCTGGTTCGCTATGACTTGTCTGGGAAATTGGAGGAAATGAATCACTGAAAACAGCTGGGTTTTAAAATAATAACTTAAAAATTCTACTGGCAGATGTCCGTCATATGCCAGTAAAAGTGCAGCAAAAGCAGCTAGCACAGTCCATTAGTTATTGCATATTTGCTGATACTGTATTTAAAATCTAAATTTATTTCCATTTTACTTAGGCTTAAACCAGCCTCCCCTCTATCTCACTGACGGGAAGAACAAATGGATCAATTTGCCAGGAAATACGGGCCTCTGAATGTTCATTATTAATAGCTCCTCCAAATTGTCTTTCTTGCTTCTGTTACCAGACGTAAGTAAGAGGATTTCTTAAAACGGCTTCTGCTTAGTTTTTTTTTTTTTTCCTAGCAATTAATATGGGTAATCTGGTAATGGGGGGTTGGAAAAATTGTTATCCAATGTAACATTGGATTACACAGGCAAACTATTTGTGCACTGTCTGGGGGTTTGATTCTTTAAAGCAGCAGGTGTACCATGCCTTTGGGGTTGAAGACTGCTTTTGACCTTCGCATGAAATATTAAGCCAGTCTCCAAAAAGGGGGTAGGACCAGGACAAGGAAGTGGGTAGGCTAAGGTCCAAACTAATTTTAATTTAATTTTAACTGAATGAAAACTAAGCGTAGCTATTTATGATAGGATGGTGAACTTCTGAACTAGCTTGTTGCCTACACAGTTAGCTTGAGGAACGAATTGGTAAATTCAGGAACAATTTCTCATCCCCACTTTTTCTTATTTTAATGAGATGACATTGGAATTCACATCAGTGTACTGTTTAATCATTCAGGAACAAAAGGCAGGAACTAAACAAGTCCTAACGTTTATTGACCAAGTGCAAGAGTGGGGAATCTGGGGTCCTACTGAGCTGCAAGTCCCTAAAGTCCCAACCAATATGGCTAATGGTGAAGAATATTGTACACGGCAGTTTGTAACCTAAGGAAGATTATGGATGCCCACTTCTAAGGCAGACAGTCCACTAGCAGCATAATTCTATACAAAGGAATTCACTCCCTCTGCGTTCTGTGGTCTCCAGGTAGGATTCTCAAATGCTGTCACATACTTTTCAAGGAAAACAGGGTGGTCTGCTAGAACATAGCTCAGCTGGGCACATTATTCACAGAATCCACCGGTGACTGTCCTGAAAAGTGAATATAAAAATGGGTCAGTTACATCCATAACACCTACAGATGTAGGGAAAGTTGCATGGCCAAGAAAAAAAAAGCATATTTGGACTTGCCAAAATTACCTCTCAAGTGCCAGCATTTGTATGCAAATAAGATAATGGTGTAATAAACAAACATCCCATTATAAGAACTACTGAAAAAAACTTTTCAGGAAGGAGCATTGTTTCAGTTTCCCCTTTGTTTTTTTATCTCTTCTTGACAGGTAATTCTGGAACTGAGAACTTTGCACTACATATTAATTTAAAATTCTTGTTTTAACTTGTCAGCTTAATTTGCAGGGTGGTGATGTGGAATGTGTACCTTTGATGAACTACTTTTAAAATATACAATAGGGAAGCAAAAAAGGCTAGTACACTTCAACACTTTTTAAAAAGTCTTTTCTCCATGAAAAGTGCTGTTCCTGTCCAATAGTGCAGCATATTGTAGAAAGGGTCTTTTTAAAAATTAAAGTAATATCTTTGATTCTGGGTTAATGTACAATCCTGTTTATTTTCAGAAGCAACTCGGCTGTTATATATTTTCTTCCCACTGAGGGTATATTATACAAATTTGTGTAGTTAATACCCAAATTTCCACTCTGTACATTTGGGTTGATGTTTCAATTGACATCTTTTCTTTCTTTTTTTGAATATTATGTCTGAGATACAAAGTTCAGGAATTCAATTGTTATTTGTCTTGTGTTATTCTTCCCAGAAATAGTTTTACATTAAGAATGTTGAAATTTGAATGGCCCCTTGAGAATAAACTTCCATCACCTTGCTTGAATAGTTCCATTCTAACTAGCCAGTAACAGGGTTGGTACTGCCCTGTAATTTGTGAGGTCTACCAAGAAGATATTGGGCTTTTCTAAGAATCTGGTTGTATATAATAACCACACCATGAAAAAGCAATCTTATTGGTAGATGTGAATCTCTTGGATCTATAAGATCTCATTGTGGCCCAAGAGCAGCATTCAGTTCATTGATGGATGGATGGATGGATGGATGGAAGGAAGGAAGGAA